CATAACTTAAGAGGCGATACTCACACCTTGTTTGTTCGTCCTTCATTAGATCTCAATGTAGTAGGAGCACCATGCCCAGTGCTCAGTTTTCAGTACCGTAAGCAGTCACTGAGATCAGTGTTGTAGCTATTGCCATTAGAAATTAAACCAGTTGTTACTTTTAAGAGAATTTTAATGCTTCCAACTCTGTTCTTACAAAGTCGTTGTTGGCTCACACGGTGTGAAATGTGAGAATTGAAGGCTGATCGAGGACTCTGTACAGTACCTTATGACTCTCAGAGAATCTCTACTTAAGAGACTATGTGAGAAATAAGCTCCACTGGGCCCAGAGAGTGGGAGGAAAGTTAAGAACCTAAATGGCTTTGTATCCTTAAGCAGGTCAGAGTCTCTCTGGCTGCTACCCAGTCAAGATGAAACAGTTCAGCTGAGGTGAATCAGGATCACTGACTTGCTGCCGCTACACACGTCTTCAGACCTACTGCCTCTTGGCATATGTTTCATTCTGGCCTATCTCTGTGGAACATCCTTGTTGCCTTATCAGGCTCTCTCTAGCAAGTGGAGTAGTGTTTTTTTTTTTCTTACGTTATACCAATTACGTAGTTTTTCTCTTGGTGAAACTCATTACAGATGTTTTCCGCAAGTATGATCCCTACAGTCAGATGCTTGCGTGCTGTCTTGCTCTCTTGCTTGTCATGATACAGCGTCCTAGAAGGAATGTCTGAAAGAGATAACATAAAGAAGGAAACATCTCACAAAATGTGACGCTCTGTACTCCACGTTTCACAGAAATGGCAGCTCACCCTAACTGAACTCTTCAGTCTGTCAGATGGGGAAGCCCATCTTGCATAAGAACACAGGGCTAATCCCTGGGCATCCTCATAAAAGCCTTTTTTGTGCCACTAATAGTGCATGGTGCTCAAGATTTTTTTTCCTCAAGTAATGCTTTGTCTACTTTGCCTCCTCAAGGCCTGTCTTCTGTCATGCAGATGTCTGTGTATACACAAAAGCTTACACAACACTAACATTAATGTATATACTACACATATGTTTACATATATACATACCTACAGCATCATATACATGTGCACATCTCTTGTAGGCTGATACACAATGGTGGCTTTCTTTATGCCAGAGCGATGTGTGTGCAAGAGGGCTGTCATCAAAGGTAGATGCTTGAAATGTCCTGCTGCTAGGTTTTTGTTTGGTGGAATCTCGATTAGAACTAAATTTCATAAGCTTGGAGCTCTGGACATCCGTAGTGCTGTAGTGGACTCACTGTTTCAGCTGTGGGAAGGAGCTTTGCTGTCTGTGATTTCCATTTGAAGAACGCTTTCTCATTCTGCATTTTCTCAGAGTAACAAACTTTAGAGTAATATTTTTCTTCCCATGCTAATGTGTATGACAGGAAGGAATTAATTCTAACTCATGAAACGATATTGCAGTTCAGCCATTTCGATTATTTCTTTGCTGGGTTTATTGTCCTGATAAAATTTATTAATCTCCTGTCTGTATAGAGGGAACATCCCATAGGAGGTAACTAAATAACAGTAATTCCACAGTATCCCTGCAAAAATTCACAGACGTGGATGCTGCCACTTCCTGAAAAAAGGTATGAAGTGATCCACAGTATTTTTTACAAAGCTGTTCTGTTCTACATGGGAAGAACAACTACCCAGTGACTTGCCTTTAAATAGGTGGTGAAGTTGTGTGACCTCAGTAAACAGCTGTCACAGACGCAGCAAAATGCCCTTTGGTTTCTGTGTGTTTCCAAATATCCCAAGAAACTGTAATGGAGACAAATCGAGTTCACCTTCTTTATCCGAGAAGTCCCACAGATATAAATGGAACAGTTTGTGTGGTTATTTGACTTTCCAACTTAGTGCTGCTAATACTTATGTTCACCTAATTTAGAAAATGTTATGAGATTACTTATTAAGTGCAATCTAATTACTAGATGTTACTAATATAACTTCTCCAGTAAAGGGTAGAAGTTTGAAAACAGTTACCAGTTCTTAATCTAAGCAAAGTAGCTCCAAATTTGTCTCTCTGCAAGATTTCAAATAACTGTCAACTAGAAAAAAAAATTGCGTTTTCAAGCTGTCACCTCTTGGGCTGTTACATATCTATGGAGACCAGGTTACTGACATAGATTGTGTTAAGTAGGATGAGTCTGTAAGAAAATAATGTGTTTTCCAGGTTGACTGATGCTGTCTTCACCTTGCATTTGAGGCTGTGCTATGTAATGGAAGGGAGCACAGCTACATAAGTATTTCCAGGATGGTGTACACTAATACTGATTTCCAGAGGAAAGAAGCGAATGATGAGATGCTCAAATATGGATCAGAATTTCCACATCCCTCAAAAAAAAGGGGATGGAAAGGTTGACTTCTATCGTCAATGTGGCCTGAATCGATGTTCATGTCACACGGGACAGGGAAGTTCCTGGTTGTTGCTCTGATTCTTGGTGAACTTTTATTTTACAAAAGCTGTTAGCATTTTATTCACGGTTTTAAAAGCTTGTGCTGGGAAAAAATGAAGCTCTAGCACTTCTACTTTGCCTTTTAAGTTTAATTTTAAATTTTACTTCTTTGGAAAGGCTGAGAAGTATTAAAAAAATAATGACTGCTTAATATAGGCTAGAACAAGAAGGGCCGTTCTGCTGTTCTGTAATTAAGCCTGCTAAATTTGTATTCATTTACACTAATTAATTATTACTTTCTTTGAATGCTCTGCTGTGAGTCAAAATAAGCTAGTGCTGGATTTGAGAACCACAGAATGAGAAAAGTAAGCAAAAACTGCCAAGAGATTTTTCTGCATCTTTTGAGTTTTATGAGACTATAGCAAACTATGTAGAGAAATAACACTGTAAATGGATTTAAGAAGATTGCATGGTTCTGCTTTTTAGCATGCTTTAATAGTGGCAAATTAACCTGTGCTGCGCTAGTGCTTTCTGGGGTTCAGGAATGGTGGAACCTCAGTCCGTTTGTATCTGCAATGAGCAGCGAGTCCATTAGCCGAAGGAACTGAAACTGAAACATTGCAACTCCATGGCATCATTTTTAAATGGAACATGATATTGTGCGGATTAAATGATTTTGCATCTGTAATGACATAGCAACCAATTACTTAATTTTCAAAAGGAACTAATGCACGTTCACAGTACTGTTCTGAAAAAAAGCATTCTAATTTGTAATCCTATATTTGAAACAGTTGTGCTTCTTGGCACCTAGCACATGCAGAAACGTAAAAGTAGAATAAGATGTGTTCCTATTTAGTTACTGTAAGTAGCCCTTCTTCTTTGTATCACATAGCTTGGCGATAGGTAGGGCAAGTCTTAGTCTTTTGGCTGTACGGTGTTGGCTGCAGTATTGGAAATTACAAAGTCTGCAGTGGAACATATATTCACATTTTTCAAATAGGAGTACATATTGGGAGACTTCTGAATATATTTACCAAAGCAGGAGCCCCAGACAAATGCTGCATTTGTCTACTGAACCCAAATTTTGCATGTGTAAGGCATACCAGTATAAAACTAATGTGTTTTATATGTATGTTATATTTATTTTTCATGTATTCCATTTTTTTAGCCTAATCCTTCTCACTCCATTGCCAAGTATCCATGGCTGTTGTTGTCCATGCTTGCATATGATCAGAATTATTCAAACTTGAACTGACAGTGACCTTTTCCTGCCTGCATTTGATGTATAGTTTCACACATGCACGTATTGTGATAATGTCTAGACTAATTTCAGACTGAGAGGAAAGCATCTTTACTCCACAGAACCATTTTGTTTGTGGCACATACACAGAGCACACTCACATGTAATATCTGATGTCAGCACTCTTCTGTCACTTTATTATATGTATATTTGTGTATATATAGAGAGAGAAATTGATTTCTAAGATATATAACACTTGAAATTACATTTTTTAAAATATTTTTCATTTTTAAATATTAACATCTTAAAGATTTAATCATGAATTTGAGACGCTTAGCAAAAAAAAAACCCAACCCAAACCACAAACCGGTGTGAAACCTTGCTCTAATAACTTAGATAAATAGCTCTATTTAATAGAACTATTTGTTATTGTTCTGTGCTTTATGCTGCACTGGAGGAGACATTGTCTGTGCCATGAGCATTTTGCAGTAATAGAGCTTGATCCTGTATAATGGTGGTTGGTCACAGTTTAAGTACAAGGTTAAAACTAAAAGGCAGAGTAAGGAAGCTCGGGGGAACTTGCTCCTGTGTAATCGAAAATGTGGCTGGGCACTCCACTGACAGCAGTCACATAGCAGGAGTAACGCCAGATAGTGGAGACCATAAGTAAACGCCTCATTTCCAATCCATGTTTAAAAAAAAAGAAATCTGCCTGTGCAGGCATTGCTGTTCTCTCCACCGTTTTTTAAAACTCATTCTGAAGGAGTGAAGGATGGGAGGGACGGAGATTTGAGTTCACATCTCTTGCACTGTACCTCACGCTTTACCTTGCTATGACCCGTGGATGACAGGGGTTTGGGTTTAATTTGGAACCAAAAGCATTTTAGTCAATCCAATCCACTGCAGGATTTGCAGGATTAAGGCCTAAATGGATAAAGTGTCTAAAACTAAGGGACAGAGTACATTAGTAAGTGAAAGATGATTTGGTCTGCAAGTGTACTTTGTAGAAGGACTCTATATGGGCTTCTTACAAAGGCTATTCTTGGCCTTTTTTTGTTTATTTGGTGACAGAAAAGTTACATCCTTAGCTCTCCCCTCGTCACCTGTATTAGCATGCCTGTTAAATTGCTGATGACACACTCACTGTCAAGTCACTTACGGTTTTCTATGTTTATTACTGATTTTGGCCTATTGCAGCAATGTACCGTTGAGGATGATCTGGAGTAGCATGGCAGCATGCAGAGTGATGGACTGTAATTCACTTGGGAGACTTGAGATGGACGTTCCGGTTGGAAGCACAAAGGTTGTGGGATATGCTAACGGAGGCTCTTTGCTTTGCAGTGCTGCAAGGAGGAGCGCTGGATGGGGTCTACAGGCTGGCACAGTTCCACATTCACTGGGGATCCTGTGAGGGCCAAGGGTCTGAGCACACTGTGGATGGTGTGAAGTATGATGCAGAGGTAGGACATGCTTTACTTTCTCCAGCCTTTTGTGTATAATGAGTACTTTTTTAATATTCCAACATGGTAGCAGCTTCTCTACAAATCTTCATAAAGCAAGAGATTGTGGGGGTTACCATAGAAGATATGCCACACTAGGACCTACTCCTTGCAAGAGCAGAGATGAGAATTGGAGGACTATTGTAATTATCTTTTTTTCAACTACTTCATACCAACTAGACTACAGAAGAAAAAAAAAACAAACCATCTTAATTATCCCTGGCTTTCCCCTACTTTCTCGGTTCTCTTGAAAATTGTGAAGAAATAGAATTGTAGCACCTGTGTACACACACCGCTCCTTTTCCTGGCTTCAATTTTTAACATCAGAGATGTTTATATAAACAAAAGAATAATTTTGGGGCAGACCCTTTCACCTTTTGGTAGCAAAGAAGCAAGGTGAGCTGTGAAGGGGACAGGTATCAAAGTGAGATATTGTGTGATATCCTTGAGACTCCAGATGTCCCTTGACCACTGGTGACTCTGTATTACAGTCTCACTACAGAAATGGAATGACTTTAGTGCCTTGCATCCCACCTTTCCGTGTCCACTGTTTAGAAATGTACCTCTGGATGCTGCGACAGACTTTTTCAACCCTTTCATAAATACACATTAACTGAACTTACCTGTGATTTGTATTGACGGATAAAAGAAATGCCCCACGGATTCATTGGCTCTGCTGCGCTTTCATGGGATAGATTTAGCTTTTGTCTTATTCAAGAAACTTGCCATTGCCTTACATCTGTTCACAGTACCATAATTACTCATTCGAGTTGACTTGCAGACAAATGAACTTAAATTAGAAATAACTTGGTAATGAAGTGGAAAGCAACATTGTGGTTAACGTGACCTGGAGGTTCATTTCATGTTCTTTCCAAAGGTCTTCTAGAAAAGGACAGAACTCTGTTTAAAAAACTCTCTAGATTGCAGGTCAGATCTATAGTTAGTGTCTCTTCTCCCTGACACTGGACAATCATGTCTTTTGGTGTTGATAAGAACTCCATGATATATAGCATTAAAATACCACATCAGAATCCTCCAGGCTGCATGCAGGAAAAACTCATGCTGAAGATAACAGGAGTTTCACCAGACTAAAAGCAAAACGATACAGCCAAAGTTTGCATTTAAAACTCATCTGGGAATAAGAGTGAGAATCAAAATAAAACACACGACAGAAATTTCTTTGCATAAATGAAACTTGAAAGTAGAGAAATGGTTCAATAAAATCTTAACTGTACACAAAAGGTTTTAAATCTCAGCAGTAAAACACCATCTGCTCTTAATGTTTAATAAATTACTTCCCTGCATCCTCATTTGTAAAATTATGGATGGAATATCATCTTCATAGTGCTTCTTGTTTTCTTGTCCCTAGCTCCATATCGTTCACTGGAACGTAAAATATGGGAAATTTGCTGAAGCTGTGAAGCATCCTGATGGTTTGGCTGTGGTAGGCGTCTTAATGAAGGTTAGTTGAACTCTTTCTTTTGTATTATTTGGTTGAGTCCAGTATGTTCATTGTGTTGCAGGGGGACCTGAGAGCCTAAAACATAGAATAAGGCAGCAGTATGCTATACTGCGTAAATCTACAGCAAACTAGACGGTGCTCCAAATTCTTGGTTTTCTCTCTATATAAAAATTGTACACCAGCCATGGAGTATGACTGCCATCCGCCACTGGCAGCCCATAGCAGCATACTTGCCACCTTCAAGACAGTGACACTGCCATAACTCTTATCAGTGAAAGGTAATGTTCATAAATGACAAAGTTAAGTGTGTGTGAGTTTGCAGTAGAACCAGCCTAAATAACTCCTATTTTCCTTTTCCTTTCATTGTTAAATGTCCAGAGCATTTTCTTAGTTGAATTGTCTTCACAGCTAGTTGGAGAAGGTGATTGTGCCCCAGCATTGTGTGCTCTGTCCTGGCCTCACTGTATTTTATTAAGAGGGTGACTTCTATGAAAAAAAAGAACAGCTCAAGTCCAAAAATAAACCCACACGCTGTAAATCAAAATAACTTTTTTCTGTCCAGTGTCCTTGGCTGACCCATTTGTGCTGACTGTCAGCTGGCAGGATTTTACAGAGACAGTTCCAGTCACTTTTGCTGTAATACTCCTGTTATGTAATGAAACAGCGCTAGGAAAATGTACTATAAAATGTTTCCTTGAGAACTGTAACAGAAACCTAAAGATATCTTGAGAGTGCATGGTTATTGACTTTTCATGTGGTTTGTATTACAGGTCGGAAATGCCAGGCCTGAAATACAGAAGGTTGTGGATGCTCTGAACTCTGTTCAGACCAAGGTATGTCTATGTTGATTGACAACAATCACAACTGTGCTGTGTTGTCGTCTTCAGAAAGTAGTTGGTGGGTTTTTTTTACTTCTTCCCTGTTTGCTGCATGTAAAAAGTAAAACAAACCTTCCTGCTGTCAGCTGATGCTCCTGTAATCTTAAATGCAAAAGAGATTCAACTGACGTTGTGGTAGAAGACAGGGAATACTAGAAACAGTGATCACTTTGCATCTCTGTAACTACATTTCCCTGTCTTTTAATTGCATTTAAACTTATTGGGTAGGATTCATCTTCCTAATCTAAACTACTCTTCCAGGTGCCCTTTCTAGTCAGTGGTGCAATGCAAAAGGCACTTCCCTGCATCTCTGGGTCTGTGGGATAGATTTCCTTTCTCCAAGAGGGCACGCTTCTCTTGACTATTTATAGAGGGAGTCCAGATAAGAAGTTTAAGCAGGATATATAACTCTTAAGGAAAAAAAGCCTTTCTGTATTTTAAATACTGTGTGAAGCGTGTGTGTGATCTTAATGAGCCGAGCAATGAGAAACTAAAAGTACTTACTGTATAACAAAGTACCTTCATAGTGGTAAAGGCCTATGCTGATGGGAAATGTGGACAGGAAAGGTAAAGAATGAGACTATGCTGTCGTCTTTGTCATCAGGCTCTCTTTGAGGTAAATGGATGTTGCCATTTACTGCAATGGACCCTCCAATAGGTCTCCCAGGTTCTCTGTTTCCAGTGTCGTCAATGTACTTGGCATCTGAAATCTCATTGTTCCTTCAAGCAGGGTCAAATCATATCTCTAGGAGCAAGGAACATAAATTAAACATTTGAAATGAGAAACAATGTCTTGTAAGTCTTGTAAGACTTACAAGTAAGACTTACACTTACACTTACACTTACTTACACTTACACTGCTGTAAGTGTAAGTCTTACTTGTAAGAAATACACTGCTGAATGTCTTTAATCCCAGCTGTAGGAAGGAGGCACTCAACACTGCATGCCAAACTCCATTTCTGCCTTTCTCCAAACGTGGAGCTCCCCACAGGAGACTTTACTACTGCAAGCCCAGTGTGTGTACGTGGTCTCTCCCCTGACGTTAGCCCACTTTCTTTATTGTAGGGGAAGCAAGCTTCCTTCACAAACTTTGACCCCACTGGATTGCTTCCTGCATGTAGAGACTATTGGACGTACCCCGGCTCACTGACCACTCCTCCACTTCTTGAATGTGTCATCTGGCATGTTCTGAAGGAGCCCATCACTGTCAGCCCCGAGCAGGTAAGTCTCCAATGGATGGTGCCAATAGACATCTACTGGAGTCGTATTTATTGCTTTGGTTCAGCCCTCCTGGTGGTCATTGAAATGGCAGTTTATGTTACTGCAGAGCTATGCAGGGTATTGGCTAGGATCAGATGTCAAAAATACGTAACTGAAGTGGTTATCCTCTTCTGACAGGACTCTGCTTCTTTGCGTGGAGGTAGAGTTTGCTGTAACATGTAAGACTGTCCTCCATTTGAACACAGGCCAGGGAGAATTTAGAGGGTTTTAAAAATTTAATCAAGCTTTCCAGATACATACTTAGAGCTGCCATGTGGTAAAAATCTGGGAAATTTGTAGCATGCATGAAAGGACCATTTGCACATGCAGAGCAAGTCTAGTGTGTATAGTGAACATCAGCACGTTTGCTGTACGTGCACGCATCACCTATCTGGGTATACTTGCCCTGAAAGTATCTGGTTTACCAAGCGTCTGAAGAGCCCATATTCTGCATCCACAGTCTCACATCAGAGATCTGTAGTTGGTTTGTTGATCTTCCAGCATTTCCAGGACACAGAGCTCATTTTACAAATTCTATTCAGCGCAGAACAGACTGGGAAATCCCACGCACAATTGTGACAATCCTAACAAAACTGCGTTGTTTAGAAGAGAGAAAACTTGCAGATTCCAGAAGTCTGCTGCCTGAAAAAATCCTTTGTTCTGTTGAGCAGCTTGAGGAGGATAGGAGCTTCCTAGTAGGAAGGAGCTCATGCAGATTAAATCACTTCTGGCTCTAGCTTTCTGTACCATCCACTAATGAAATAACATAGAGGCAAGATTCCATCATGGGTTCACATCTGTATACTTGGGAGATATAAATAGAATCTAGAGCCTATAAATATAAACTAGCCCTGAAGAGCTTTAGTTTACTCCTCAAACTCTTAAATCGCTTTTATCAATAGCAGACATGCTAACAATATACACATAATTCTAGAGTTTTTATTCAGCTGATGTGGAAAAAGGTACAACTGAGCTGTTGTGGGACTTAATGTAATAAAAGATAGAATAAATGACAAGGAAGAACTATTGGAAATAATAATTATAGCAATGATTATCATTAATAAACTGCAAGGGAGCATTGAAGTTGACGCTATTTACTTTATCTAAACTATTGGTATTGCTATTGATAATCCAAGATTTCAAAATATTTTATTATAGAGCAGGAGCATATTCACCAAAATAGAGTTGTTTTTCCTACTACACCTACTTTAACCACCTGCAAGTGGTAAAAGACACCACTTGTTTCTCCCACACACACCCCTCTGTCGACATTTCAAAGGTGGATTTGAGATCAAAACAGTGCATGTGGCAGCTTGCCTTTTCATTCCAAAACTGATCAAAACGAGAAACCATAAAGCAACGTGTGGACACTGGGTCCAGTTGACTTGGTTTCCCAAAGGCAGATAAAAGCTGGCTGTTACAGCAGGATGTAGCAAGCCCGTTATCTTTTGCTGTAGAGACAGAGCAGTTCCTGGCAGAGGTTGAGCTCTAAACTTTGTTCCAGTTGGTCCTGAAAGTAAAGTCCTCTCCTCGGCTGGTCACTGCTGGGGGCCTTCTTCCTTGAGTTGGGGAAAGCCTGGCCTGCAGTCTGACTCGTACAAAATCCTGTGTTCCACCTACATACTTCTGTCAGCAGTTCCAGCTGTCTTTGTGAGATCACATTTGGGGTGGGTTATTATTTTGGCACAGTCTTTTTATTAGTTTTGGAGATGCCCACTGAGACATCAATGTGCTTTTATTACATCAGACTGTGCAAACACCGGTTTTACTTTGGGAGCAAGCACTAAAACCTTACAGTATGCTCCTATCAATGCGGAACAGTTTTCCCTTTCACAGTGTTTGAAAATCAAGATACATTGAATGAATTTGGCTGCGTTAATTAGACCCAAGGGTAAGGTCACTTTTATTTTTTCATAATGTCAACTGGACACAAAAAAATCCAAGTTTCAAAAGAGCCAAACCGGTACAACTTGCAAAGGATTCTGAAAGGGTTTCAATTCAGATCTGGATCAAGGACAAGCAGCTCTTTGTGCATAGAGTTCAAAAAATGCGTGCCTAGGTCTTTCTTTTCTGTGTTTTCTTAGTTCTTCTCGCTAGGATGTTTTGTGGACAGGAGAGCCTGTGTCAGGGGTGGGAAGTGGTGTGGACGAAATGCAGAGACACTTATAGGTGATGACACCGTCTCTAGACCGTTAGTGCTGGTGAAACTTTGAGTCAAACCTCTAGCTCAGGCCTAAGTTGTATAATTCCAATAGTCC